AGACACACACATACACACACACACACACACACACACACACACACACACACACACACACACACACACACACACACACACACTCTTTGTGGAAGTGTTAAAACTCTCCGGCGCACACCCCCGCAGATACGACAAGACCTCCGAAGAAGGATGAGGAGAACGGCAAGAACTACTACTTTGTGTCGCACGAGCAGATGATGCAGGACATCAGCAACAACGAGTACCTGGAGTACGGCAGCCACGAAGACGCCATGTACGGCACGCGCCTGGAGACCATTCGCAACATCCACCAGCAGGGACTGGTCGCCATCCTGGATGTTGAGCCGCAGGTCTGCTTCGACGCTTAATGCGGACGTCCCACTCATGGACGACATCAAAATATGACGTAAAAAATAAGAAGTTTATGACAACTTATGTATAAGAATCTTTTTTTTTTTTTGTAATCTATAGTATTTTTTGTTAAATTAGGCGCAAGGGGGGGGGTCCAAAAAGACAATAAGGGAATTAACCCTTTCGTGCACCCTGTAACCTGAGAACATGATAAGGTGTCCACTGTAGTAACGGCGGTGCCTAAAAGGGTTAAATTATTAAATTAGGCCAAACTACGTTTTAAAAGAATAAAGATGTTAAAATAATAGTTCTAATCAATATTTAGGTCATGGGGGGAATACAATTACCAGGAAAGACATTTCTTAATTTGACAGCAATATCGTTTTTGCATTAATGAGAGACATCCGAATATTTTGACAGTATTTTAATTTGACACCAGTGTAGATTTGATATTACTGGGATGAGTTGAAATAGTGAAAGTTGGAATATAAAAAAAAAAAAAAAAAAAGATTTTACCCAAGAAGTCAGTCGTGATCATCAAATGAAAAGCTAACATTTTACAAGAATAAATATTTATTATTACAAGAGAAAATATTTCACAAGAATGAACGCGTATAAAGAGGGAAAATAACGGTTAATAAAATTACCTGGTCAACAATTTTTTACAAACTTGTTGAATCAGAGATGCAGGTAAACTTTTCCAGATGCATTTTTGGGGCTGATCTCAAATCTGCCCTCTTTTTTTCGTAATAATATAATAACAGTAAGATAATATGCTACATATATACGGTATATTGAGTCATATTTATGAATTCAGGGTTAGGTTCAGCAACAGGTGGATTTTTCTAAAATATCACAGCTATAGATGATAAAATCCGTATTGTGCAAGCTTTTGTAGGTCAAATTTGAAAACAACTCATTAAAATATCTCCCCCCAAAATTTTGAAATGTGTCCAAAAAGATGTAGAGGGCCACATCGAGCCATCATAGTATTATTTAAAAATACTATGATTCCAATTTTAATTAGTTATACCATAATTAGGGGGGGGGGGTATTCCAATATTACAAACGGAAAAGTGTCATAACCGGAGAAAAATAATTTTAAAAAACAATGTTTTGCAGTTAAAAAAAAAAATTGAACATAATTGCAGTTTTGCAAGAAAAATCTGAGCAAATGAAAATGAAATCTCACACGCGCACATACACACACACACACACACTCACACACACGCGCACACGCACACACGTTTTGTGTGTGTTTTCGGACAGGCACTGAAAGTCCTTCGCACGGCCGAGTTTGCCCCATACGTGGTTTTCATCGCTGCACCAACCATCACGCCAGGCATCGACGAGGTAAATCATATCACTCGCACGCACGCTTCCTTGAATTTACATGTGAAAGTATGAGCACGTCCTTGCATGCACGTGTGCATGTGTCTGCATGTGTGTTTGATGGCTGCTTTATCTTTGCACACAATGCATGCATGTTTCTATGGGCCCCCACCCGCAGACGCCCAGGTGGTGTCGCACACTGCCAGTAAGTACTTTGCAACCCGACACCTGCTAGCCAATAGTTTTTAAAAGTGTGTGTTGTCTTGTCTCGTGTGTGTGTGTGTGTGTGTGTGTGTGTGTGTGTGTGTGTGTGTGTGTGTGTGTGTGTGTGTGTGTGTGTGTGAATAACTACATTTACATGAGTTGTTACAATAAGGTTGGGATATGATGAAATGTTTAAAAAAATATATCAATATCACCATAATATTGTGATAGGGAAAATAACGTTTCATTTTTCAAGATTTCAAGTCAATCTTCTTATTTTCCAAGAGTAAAGTTGTAGTGTAATATTGGGAGAAAGTTGGAATTCAAAAAGGTTAAGTTCCACACACACACACACACACACACACACACACACACACACACAAGTAACAACTTCACACAAATCGAATTTTAAAGCTTAAATTGTAATTTCAGAGACTGAAGATATAAAGTGACATAAATGTTGGAATATTAAAGGGGGGGTGGGAAAGTCATGATTTTCATTATTACGAGTATATAAGAAAAACACTGTTTTGAGTTGTCCTATTACAATAAAATGTATGAAAATAATTGTCATTTTACAACAATAAAGTAGCAACATGACATTATGAAAAGTTGTACTATTATTGACTTGCTTTTACTTTGGCCTCCCCACTCGCTCAGGACGAGTCCTTGCAGCGTCTTCAGAAGGAGTCGGAGATCCTGCAGAAGACGTACGCGCACTATTTCGACCAGACCATCATCAACAACGAGATCGACGACACCATCTGCCACCTGGAGGAGGCCGTGGAGCTGGTGTGCAACAGCGGCCAGTGGGTGCCCGTCTCATGGGTCTACTGAAGTCCAAACCCCCCCGCCTCCGGCGTCATCGCCATCGTCGTCTGAGAACCACCTGGCCATCGTCATCGTGGTGTTGTACTATAAAATGAATATTGTCTGTCTGTACCGGCCGGCTAGGAACTTTTTTACTAGATGTTTCTTTTCAGGAGATGAGTCCCGTTGTGTCGCCCCGCCCCCACCCCCTTCTCCCCTCCAGTGTCAAAGTGGGTGGACCCGTCTGGCTGGGGGAAAAAAAAAAAGCACACAAACATACTTCGACCCTCATTATTTATTCATCCCACCTGTTTTTTGTTTTTGTTTTTTTGTTTTTTTAATCCTCTCACTCCACTGACTTGGACTTTCTAAATCAATCCATACACGTGTTGTTGTTATACTGAAGGAAAAAAAAGCGGATGAATCATGCATGTGGACGATTTTGGTCAGTGTTCCTCGTGTCCCTCTGTAAAAAGAAAAAAAATAAAGAAATTGTCAAAGATGATAGTCATGTTCCAGCTGTGTAAGATCCTGGAAGGTGATTGGCTGGATGTCCTCCTTTGCACACGTCCCTGCTGTCATGGCGGACATTGTGAGGTGTCCGTCAACATGTTTGTCATGTCAAGGTGTATTAACTCTTTTATCTTGTAAATGTGTTTTGGCTTTCAACATGGACACTTTTTGTGTGAGGGGAAAAAAAAAGTGTATGCCCGTGCAAGGTGAGGCAGAATTACAGCAGCTCATCAGTATGATTTTTTTTTTCCAAAAATATATTTCCTTTCATATATCGGACTAATCAACTTTGGATTTTTTTGTTGTTTGTTGGGGGTTGGGGGGGGGTGTTGCAATGCTACGTTCGAGGAAGTTGTTTAAAGAGAACGACAGGAATAATACATGAGAAACAAAGTACATTAGGGAAAAAAAAGCATGGTGAGGGGGAGCAATTTTTTTCCCCAAATAAATATTAAAATATTTAAAAAAATCATTTCACATGAATAATAATAATGACAGTGTTTTATACAGTGGGTTTCTGGACACAAACAAACTTGATAAGACAAAGGTGGGAACACTTGTACCCCATGCATCCATATTCTGGTGTGCTTTTCTTCATCAGGTTGACGAATGTGGAGTAGCCTCACTTTCATCAACAGAGTACGCCAAAGACTGGTAGCCAGCCAATCACAAGCCACATAACAGTTCTCGACTCGCACAAAAAAAAAAAAAATCGCCCTGCCATTTTCACCTTAGACCAGTCCGCGGGCACGTTTAACATATTGGTGGGGGCGAGCTGAAGAATTAACTCGCCTTGGACATCCAACAAGGATAGCCCGAGGAGCAAAGACTTGTTGATTTTCCACAAGCACTTGTTTAATCGTAACAATATAACAGTCACTCAGCTTCACCACACGTGACTCAAGAGCACGGCGGTCCGGTACGCCCGACCGAGTGCATGACCACAAAAAAACTGTATGTCAGAAGTTGAAGATAAAGGGTGACTAACTGATGTAATAAATGAAAGAGGCGCCACCGTGTGGCGTGATACCGTACTATAATCACGAACTGTTACACACGATGGTGCGTGCGCACTTGCGCTTACGCTTACGAATACTCACAACTAACTCCATATCTGAAAAGTCATTGTTTATCATCCCGTTCACAATCAGGATTTCATGAAATGAAATGCACACCATATCCAGAACCTTGTTCAGCACACTTATAATGGAAGCAAAATTTAGCTGAGCTTGATTTTCTATATACTGTAATGTTATTTTACTCCGTGTTGCTTTGCTTGTACAGTACTCTACTTCTATCTCATGCACTGATTTGCGTTCCCTAACTTTGCATTGTTTTGTACTGCATAATGCGATGAATGGCCCCGTTTGTTCATATTGTGTCGAAAATCTTTTCATTCTCAATTCTCAACACTGCTATGTACTTCCTGCTTCTAATATGAGCGTGTTGAGCGAGGTTCTGGATATGTATGCATTTTATTTCATGAAACAATGACTTCTCGCCCACACATTGTTTGCTTGGTGATCATGAAGTTAATGTTAATGATGGTAATGATTGACATTGATTGTAAGAACTAAACATTGGTTTCTAAAGACAAAATGAAAAATAGCAGGCCACAATTTAGAGGGAGCACCCCGTGAATGTAATTGCAATATAAACTGCAAACTGAGCTAATCAACATAAGGGAAGTGGTAATCAGGAAAATAACTAAATACTATGATGGCCCATCGGGCATCTGCCCACTGTCCAATTGAGCAAATTGTTCAATAATACAATTCACGCTCCCATCTTGGATTTTTTTTTCCATCTCCGATTGTATTCATGTATTTATTTATTATTTGCCACCTTTGCTGGCATAAAAATCGATAATCGGGGAATAAACCAAATGCTCTAAAATCCAATAAACAATTCAATTGAATGAACTGGTCAGGATTGTTCTCAGGCTTCTGCAGAGGTTGCTGATGAGCAGCAGCCTTGAGAATTGCTACAAAATGAAGTGAATATACTGTTTGCGGAAAAAAAAAAGATGGAACGAATATCAGAATTGAAATTGTAAATGGAGGTCAGTACTTCTGATGACCTTCAGGCCAGTGAGATAAGGCCTTGGCAACCCTGTTCTATGATAACTGCGATGAGAAAGTAAACAGCCTGCGCTGTGCTGGGAAGATTGGTTGCGGTTAAGCTCAATGACACCCACGGGTAACTCTGCAGGGTTGCATCACTGCATGCAACTGATGTAACATGGCGGATGATATCCTGCCTTTACCGTGGATGCTCTTAGTCCCGTTCTAATCCCTCATTAAAAGGGGTCAGTGTGCAGATTTGTCCACCCATGAAGGTCAACCCCAAGGTCGAGTCGTCAATCAGCCGCATGAAACATCCCCCTTTTTTAAAAATTATTATTATAATTATTTTCAGAAAAATATGTCATGTGAGAGCACAGCTGAAGTTGATCACATGGCATGAGGAGGACCTAGCTAATGAGCTCAAAAACAGCAAATAAGATATCAAGGTGTAATATGAGGAAAAAAAAGCAACGGAGTCCCGAATGCTTTCAATCAAGCAGTATAACACAACCATGCCAAGGCTCTATCAAAAAATCAAATCAAATCAAAGATGAATACAAGGATAAAGTCACATTGCCATAAAAGATGTTACTTGACTTACTTTTTGGTTCTTTTTTTTCTTCTTCTTTTTACTGTTGTAATGTGAATTTTTATTTTTTGTGAATAAAGTCATAATATGAGGAAAAAGTAAACATTTTTCAAGAACACAGTTTTAATATGAGAAAACAAATGTAAATCGTATGACTAACTTTCAGGTTTTAAAAAGGTAACTACATTTTTTTTCTTCCTATTCATTATTAGCACAAAGAAATAATTACAATGCAATCAGTCGTCATTTTACAAAAATAAAAGTCTAGCATTAGCTACAAGAAACACTATTTAAAAAATTATTTTAGGACTATAAAGTTGTAGTATTACACCAATGAACGTTTTGTTGTAATATGTTGAGAGAAAAAAAAAATCAAGTCAAATTGTTACAATCACATTTTATGAGGAAAACATAATGTATTACTATTATTACTATTTTACAGAATAAAATTGTAATATAAGAAAAGCCTGAATTTTATATGAATACAATTGCCGAATGAGAATTTTCGGGGGTAAAAATGCAATTTTATGACGGCAGAGCCACACTATTCCAAGAATGAATGAGAATGAAGTCCTAATCTAACAGGTATGAAATTAATATGGTATTATTAAATAAATTAAGTGATTATACTTTGAGGAAAAAAAAAAGTATAACTTGTTTTATTATTTTAATATGACAAGGGAGAAATATAACATTTCCATGGAAAGAAAGTTGTAATACAAGTCGGTCAGTCAGCAATATATACGAAGAAAATACAAAATGTACTGTTTCAAATATGTGTAACTAAGGCAATAAATTCAAAAGAGTATAAAAAAGTTGTGACAAAATGTTGCAAATAACACTGACCTATTATGATGAAAAAACAACATTTGTATGAAAAGTGACAAGTTAAGAAGAACAAAATTGTACAATTTGTTCCCAAAAAATTATTCTATTCATAATAACAGTGAAAATACTGTGGTTATATTAAATTTACTCCAAGACTATAGTATGAATGTAAATTAAAAATGCAATATCAGGAGAAAATTTTAATATTATGATGTTATATCATATGTTGACATAAAAGCTACAGGAAAACAACAAAGAAGCACTTCCAACAGTCGCAATATTATGAGAACAGAACATCTCATAAATGTAATCAGAAAGAAAAAAAAAATCAAAATTCTAATGTTGTAATTTTAATAGGAGGTGGTGGGAAAAAAATCATATGTATTATTTTTACAAGAATGACATTGTTATGAGAAAACAAATTGAATTTGCTGACTATAAAACCACACTATGGGTCCTATGATTTTTCAAAATAAATGACATTATGAGAATAAACAAAAGCAGCACACCAGTCAGTATCTTTGAGTTTATTAGTAGAGCGGCAAAGGAATATTCAGCGGTCTTTCCACAAGATTCCCCCGAATTCTCATTCATAATCATGTGCCAGTGACATTCGGCGGGGTCGTGTGTAGCGTGATCCCATCCATGCGTGGTGAAATCGGAAAGGGTCCACCCATAGGAGGAGGCACAGGCAAGTTGTCAACGACTCACAAGCGTAAAGAAGATTAATGCATTTCTGTAGAGAAAAAAAAAACGCGACAGAGAAACGGACATCTGTTTCACTTCATCAGCCTTTAACCTACAAAAAGAGCACTTGTAGGGCGCTATGAATATGACGTCATGTTCATTGAAATGCCGCAATTCTGCAACGAAATGTGTTCATTCTGATCAACACCTACACCGCGGCTTGAAGGTGAGAACGTATTCTTTGATGTAATGACATCATACATCGCTGTAGATTATGGTACGTGAAGCCATCCTGCCCGATCAGTTGTGTCAGACGTTTGAAAAAGTTTTCACGCGTGAGTGAATCTCATGTGCAACACAGTTTGCCATTTGTCTCAGAGCAAGCCACAAGGAAGTAGAGAACCCTAAGCAGAACGAAGATGCTAAAACTGACCCTCACTTGTAACCATAAAGTTGTCCCACAAGTGCCTATCTCATATTGCAGTATAACCCCCAGCCCAAAATATAAACTTGATCTCCGAGCCCTTAGCGCTAACACTGAAATTTAGAAGATCTTGATTTCATCAGTAGGATTAAACCCTAATCCTACTAATGAAATCAAGATCTTCCTCGTCGCTTTTAGAGGACGACTTCCCTTGTGTAAAGAGCTCATCTATCCTATAGACCGCCGGGCCGCGGACCGGTACCGGTCTGTGGGTAATTTGGTACCGGGCCGCACAGAAAGAACACGGAACTTACATTACTTCCGTTTTATTTATTTCGGGCTCTGAAAGATGTTTTATTTTGAAAGAATACCGGCTTCTCTGTTATATCCAAGTCGCGCTTCGCGGTCACGTGATAGGTTGCCGCAAAAATGAAACCCATTTAATCCAGAAGCTAGCAAAATGAGCAAAAAAACAAACGTTTTGGGGAAAGGGAAAAGGTCCAGCCAGGAGACAGAAGAGAAGCCTAAGTCTTTCAAGAAAAAGAAGGCTACATTTATTAGACAGTATCAGGAACCCTACTTGAAATAGGGATTTATCTCAACGGGAGATTCCCACGCACCAAGCCCACTCTGCATGATATGCGGCGATGGTGAGTCGTATTTTTCATGCACTTTGTATTTGCGGTGTATCTTATTTTGAAGGCATGTTTGAACGTTACCATCGCGACCAGGGAGCATTGCATTCAGATAGGATGTTCCTCGTGTCATGATTCGTGTTTATTATGTTACGAAAATACCACAGTTTCCATGAAGATCATATCATATTATTTTGTTGTATTTATCCGTCATACCTTAAAGGCCGGTCCCTGAAAATATTGTCTGACATTAAACCGTAGGGCAAAAAAACATTGGGGACCGCTGATATAGATTATGATACATGAAGCCGTCATGTCAATTGCAGTTAAAAAAGCTTCCACCCGTTCATGTAAAATAACATCCACCATTCATCCAAACTGAAAATGAGCCAAGCCACAAGAAAATAGAAAGCCGGTATCTGCGTTTGACAGTGTTGCCCTCTGACCCCGGCACTGAGCTGTCCGTCCTCGGCTTCAGGCAGCGTCCCGTTGCGAGCACCGTCCGTCCCGTTGACCGCCTCTTCCCGGAGTTCCTGCTGCAGCAGTCTGGAAATGAGGCTGTTGAAGCGGTTCTCTGTGGTGGAGGCCACCTCTGAGGACACCGTGGTCAAGTTCAGTTCGGCGGGGTCAATGCATGTGCCGTTCACTTTGGCAAAGACCACCTCGCCCAGATCAAGTCCTGCCACCGACGACGGTGACGAGCACGGGATGTCCCGCACCAGGTTGTAGTTCTCCATCCACTCCTTCAGCCATTCCAAGGAGCAGTCACATTCCCAGGGGTTCCTAAAGAGGTAGAGGCGACCCAGGAAGTAGATAGGCTGGAACACCGGGAAGGGGAGAGTGCTGAGGTTGTTGCTGTTCAAATGGAGCGTGATCAGGCTGGTTAAGTTCTCGAAGGTTCCTTCCTCAATGTACACCAGCTGGTTCCTGTCCAGGTACAGGATCTCCAGCTCCACCAGGTCGCCGAACCAGGTTTTGGAGACATTGGTCAGCTGGTTCCCACCGAGGTTGAGCATCTTGAGGCGGCTGAGGCCCTTGAAGGCGAGCCGCGGCAGGTCGGACAGCAGGTTGTCGTTGAGGTAGAAGTTCTCCAGCCGCACAAGGTCCTGGAAGGCCTGGTCGTGGATGACATTGATGCGGTTCTCTTGGAGGTTCAAGTACCTGCAATGACAGGGGAACATAAGTCAAAAACTTCAAGGGCTAAAAGAGTCACACCCCATGTCTGAGGTCATACACAAATATGAGGAAAATTGTTACAAAATCCAGAACGTGTGCAAGAAATATAAGATCTGCATGAGTTACAAGAAAAATTAATTTGTAGAAATCAGAATGGTTCCCGTGACTTTTATATCCACCCAGTTAGGTTCGGATCTGAAGTTTAGTTTAGAATCCCAAATGTCCAATCGCAATTCATTAGTGGGAAACACCCTCAACCATAATCCAGGGGTCTCCAAGTCTGGTCCTCGTGAGCCCCTACCCAGCTGCTTCCCATTCAGAATGCTGCAGCTGAAGCCAAATGTTGGCAGAGGTTTTTCAATTCCTTGACCTGGATATGCCACGTCCGACTATGACGAAGTCAAGACAGTTGGTAAAGTAGTTTCACTGCTAGTGATCCCAACCATGACATGAGCCTGCTCCAGACTTACTTGAGGCTGCCCAGGCCCAGCAGTGAATTGTAGGCCACCGCCTCGATCTTGCTCCTCTCCAGGTAGATGTGGGTCAGGTTTTCCATACCCCGGATGGCGCCGGGGATCCTGCGGAACTTGTTCTGGAAGCACAGCAGCTCCTTGAGCGCCATCTGCTCGATGAAGATGCGATCCGGGATGTTGAAGAGGTTGCAGTCGGACAGGTCAAGGCGCACCAGCTTCTTGAGGCCTGTGAAGGTCCGCGTGTGAAGGTAGCTGATGTACTCGTTGTGCGCCATTTTCAGTTCCACCAGGTTGGAGAGACCCTGAGCAAAAAAAAAGGTTTTAAGAGCAGGCCCAAGGCAAAATTTAATTAGGGACCCTGTGGCCGCTATACGAGGTGCTCAAAAGCAATTAACGGTCAAATGAGGATGAAGTAGTATGTTTCGTGAGGCAGAGCTGTGCTAAGTAAGCTAGCTGATGACAGGGTTTCATATTGCAAAGTGGGCAAATCATCTTTTTGAACGGTCCGTGCTGACCTTGAAGGCTCCAGGGGTGATGAAGGAGATGTTGTTGTGGTCCAGCGAGAGGGACTTGAGTGATGGAAGGGTACCAAAGGCCCGTTCTGACAGGAACTTGAGTCTGTTCTTGTCCAGGTTGATGGCTGAGGCCTCGCAGGGAAACTCTCTGGGCAGCTCAGAGAGGCCCGAGCGGTCGCACAGCACGCTGCAGCTCTTCTCTTGTGTGCAGGAACAGGACTGCGGACAGGCCCGAGGGCATGCCCAGCGGGTTAGTGCCGCCGGAGGCAGCAGGATCAGCAGTGAGACTGAGGATGACACCAAAGTCAAATCCGCAATGTTATCTCAAATGCTGCACACATAAAATTATTTTTAGTATGAAAGTCTTAACTTCGAAAAAAAATGACACTGTTAAAAACATGGTCTGTGTTTTATGGAAATTTGCGGAATTAGTGGCCAGAATGTTCCACTGGATCAATAGTAGCTAGCGGCCTACATGCAGTAGATAGGTTTAAGGAAATCCTCCGCGATTGGCTGGCAACCAGTTCAGGGCGTACCCTGCCTATACTCCCCGAAAACAGCTGGGATAGGCTGCAGCGCGCCTGTGACCCTCGCGAAGATAAAGCGATCAGATCATGGATGGATGGAAAAGTAGGTGAGAATTCTGACCTCCATTTACAATAAGTCACCCATATACAATATTGTAGAAAACACTGCTGTTCCTTGCGCTATAAAATGTTAAGGGAATTACAAAACCCTCAAACCAATTCTTATTGATGTTTTTAAGTAAATCTTTTACCCTTGAAAAGTCTAAGAAAAAGGGCAAATGATGTGACTGACAGCTCTCTCATGTCCAAAAGTGTGTTGATGTGATGGTGACGGTTATTAAAAACAAAAGTCCGAGTTTGAGATTAGCCACACCACAATAGCGACTGTCACTGTGTGTATCAACGGGGATTTCATTTTGTTCCACCTCTTAGCTTATTCACGCGCGCTGTGGGTGAAGGCAAACGTTCTTCATCACCGGTGGGAAACCTACAGCCCGTGGGCCAAACGCGGCCCGCCATGCAATTTCAAAAACAAATAAAGCCTCGAAAAATATTGAACTCATAAATGTTTAAAATACAGTGCACTATAAATTCATCATTTTCATTAAACTGACCGGTGAAAGCAACAAACGTCATTACTGTCGACTGTCATCAGGGAGATGCCAGGATTAATGCAGCGCTGAAATGACATGGAAGAAAGACAACAATTAACTGGAATGACCACAAATTAAAAAAAACAACAACAACAACGACGATAACAAAAGTAACTGCACATTCCTACTTTGCAGGAAAAGTCTGACATCGTGAAGGATTTCAAGACACGCAGGCGATGCTACCTGGAGATGTTTTCTGATGGTTGCATCCATGTCGCCATCCAAACAAACATCTGCGCTTCCATGCTGTGCATCCCATGTGCATCTTCAGCTTGCCGGTCTGCCGCCAGCCTCTGTCAATTTCCCAGTAAAAGCCTTTCAGCATTCTGAGCCTCCCACTCTTGCTATGTGTGTCTGGGACACACACACACACACACACACACACACACACACACACACACACACACACACACACACCAAAAAGCCATCTCTTAATGGCAGCCAAATCCCCCTGGATGTTCTGATGCAGGGAGATGGAGATGGGAGGCTGGCAGCGGGATTAACAAAGTAAAGCTAGCGAGGCAGAGCCTTAACTTTAGGAACATGCTCGCGCGAGACACACTCATACACGCACGCACGCACGCACGCACGCACGCGCGCGCGCGCGCACACACACACACACACACACACACACACACACACACACACACACACACACACATCTCCAAAGCATAATACGAGATGGAAGGGGTGGTGCCCACAATGCTAGAAGGACAACAACACACGTGTACACAAGTGGGTGAAGTTGGAAACCTAAAAGGCGCAGATGTTAAAAGTGGATTCAAGGGTGAGTTAAGCATTGCAGATGTGTGGGAACTGATGGGAACGGTAATCGATAGTTCAAAATGAGGGTATGTCTGTGTGTGTATATAGTCTATCTACGGCACAGGTGTCAAAGTCAAGGCCCGGGGGCCAGATCTGGCCCGCCACATCATTTTATGTGGCCCGCGAAATCAAATCAAGCATGTCAAGTTCCATGATGCTTGCTAAAGTCTGAACCAAAATTTCAAATTTTCATATGTAATCCGCAATAAGAGTCATTATTCTTGACTTCTCATTTTAAAACTAGTTATTCATTAATTTGTTGTGCGCTGTATCTGTGATATGTGGAGGGGATTAAACATTTATGTGGTTTCCCCAAATTCATAATGGCCCTCCAAGGGAAACCGTCACTAAAATGTGGCCCGCGACAAAAATGAGTTTGACACCCCTGATCTACGGTATCTATGGGAGATCAACAGGGGGATCAGTGCAGCATCTGCTGTGTGTGAGATAGGGTGAGATGTTGGGTCATCCGGGAGGGACTCAGAGTTGAGCCACTGTCTCCATGTTGAGAAGACCCAGGTGGGGTGGATTGAGCATCTGGTTCCTGGATGCCTCCATAGTGAGGTGTTCTGGGCATGTCGCACCGGCAGAAGGCTCCCGGGAATGTCCGAGGATATGCTGGAGAGGCAATGTCTCGCGGCTATCCTGGGAACACCTCTGGAAGAGTTAGAATTGGCTGGGGAGATGGAAGTATGGACTTCCCTACTGAAGATGCCGCATGTGAACTCTCTACTCGCATTCCCCTGCCTCCAGAGCGAAACCAATAAAAGCTGCCAAAATTGGGGCAGTCAGGGTGTAACACAAGTGGATGTGCCCTGTTTAACGTGCCGTGCTTTGCTGCCCTAAAAAGCTGCCGCAGGTCCTACACTGCGAAGGCAAATGCAGGTCAGCTTGAGGGGTGGGGGGGATTTGAGATTTGCGGCTTACTGCTCATGTGCTTTCCCACGGCAATAAACAAGACTAACTGGGACAAGGGTAGGACAGGCTTCGTGTCATTGATTTTTCACTTTAATTTTCCAGAAGAGTGTCTTCCTTTGCAACTGAAAAATGTCACTCTCATATCCCATACTCACTTTTGTCATTGCAACAGAAAATCTGCTCCACGCTCCGATCAGTTATTTCACATGGGAAAAGATTGCAGCATAATGAATCTCCAAATGAGCAAATTGTGAAATTAGTTGGAGTTAAAAGGAAATCTGTGTGTGAATCTTTTCTAGGGAATTTTTTTTGTGACCATGGGAATGTTTTGTGCAAATTTCAACTTTGCAGTAGCCTATGAAGTAATGCTTAACCATGTCATGGGGACGTCAGTGCCAACATTTTCTTTAAAAGATGCTCTATGCCAGGGGTCCCCAACCGCCGGTCCGCGGACCGGTACCGGTCCGCCGGGCATTTGGTACCGGGCCGCACAGAAAGAACTTGCCTTAATTCCGTTTTATTTATTTCGGAATACGAAAGATGTTTTATTTTGAAAACTTACCGGATTCTCCGTTACATCCGTCTGTGTCCAGCTTGACACACGTCAAGCCACGCTTCTCCGTAACGCGACCAATTAGGCTAAAAACAAACACCGGAGCTCGCAAAATGAGTAAAAAAACTGCTGGAGATCGCAAATGACGGCGGCCTTAAAAGTACGTTCGAGACAACTGGATTAAAGTTATGTCTGAATACTCTGAGATCGCCACAATAGCACTTTTGCTATTTCCGACATCCTACCTGTGTGAGGCGGGGGGGATTATGCAGCAACGGCGACGAAAACAAAATTACGAAGTAGACTGGACATAAACCACACACTTGCGGTGTCATTGTCTCTCCTATTACCCCGAGATGGGACCGTCTGGTTGCAGAAAATCAAGCTCGGTGCTGTGGTGAGTCGTCATTTTCATGCACTTTGAATTTGCGTTGTATCGTATTTTGAAGGCATTAAACATTGCCATAGCGTTGCGGCCAGATTAGACGCTCCTTGTGTTTATTATTATATTTCGAAAACACCACAGTTTTCATGCAGCTCATACCATATTATTTTGTTGTATTATTTCCGCCACACCTTAAATGCCGGTCCCTGAAAATATTGTCTGACATAAACCGGTCCGTGGCGCAAAAAAGGTTGGGGACCCCTGCTCTATGCATAGAATTGTGTTTGTGGAATATGAATTAAGCAGCAAAAGCCATCAATTTTTATCCATCTCAGGGTCAGCCATTTTGCTATTTGTTAAGGGGCTCAGGTATTGGGGTGTCAAACTGCATAAAAGCTCAGGGAGGGCACAATCACACATGGCACGCTTGAAGCTTAAGCAGTGTCGTGCATCCAGGGTGCGTTTAGAAAATAGGAACTTTGATCAGCACAATCGTTTCGCTTTGTTTTCAAGGTCGTGAGCAGCCAACAGTGAAATCACGATTAAATTACAACTAGTTGCCCAGCACTATCGGGGCGTGAATAACAAGAGTCGTAATGGCAAATGGTGAGGGTGCAGCATTCAAAGGAAATGAGTGAAATTCAATTTTAGGGAAATGAGACCAGACACAGAAGCAATTACAAATGAAATCTTTATAGAATTTCCTCAAAAGAAATGAAGCCCATCCAATCAATACCAATTAGAAAGTTGGCTTGCCCCCATTGGCAAGGGGCAGCATTGCTACAGGCAACTCTCGCACCCTCTTACTACTACAGTAAACATGCTGGAAATTTGCTTTCCAGAAACTTTTGCATTCAAACATATTTATTCTGATAAAATCATACAAATGTGCAGCAGTTATTTCCCAAGCTGCGCATTAGCCTGGAAGCTAATACAGAAAGCAAAGTCTACATCTAAAGAGCTCTGCGGTTCGACAGTTGGAAGGTAGAAACACAACCGGAAGCTTCCGGTGCATGACGTTTTCCACTTCCATAAGAACTAGAGAGCAGTAATATATAATGCAAATACAACAATGACAATAAACCACATGTTCGTTTCTTTAAGGATTGCCATGTGCCAGACATTCACTGGAGAAAAAGAATCGGACCAAATCAAGAGTTATGCACACAGTAGGAGAATCAGAACACTTCAACGCTACGCTTAGGAAATAGATTTGCTCTTTGACAGCTTAATTCCAAACCTTGGCATGTTTTTTTTTCTTCAATTACATTTGCAATTTGTATTTTTTTTTTCTTTTGCAGACCAATAGGGAGAATTTTAATAAATCAGATGACCGGCCCCGCAGAGGCCCTGAACACAGCTGTGGATTTTGTTATCAAGTAGGTACTGAGTCAGATGTATCGAACATTAAAAAGCTCACACTACCCGGAATATAGAAATTTCACGCATACAGGTGACATTCAACATTCAAGTGCCAGTGTTTTTTTTTTTGTACTGTCTTTTGGTCAAGTTTTCTGAAACTTTCAAAGAATCACTTTTGAGGCTTACAAAAATAAATATTTGTCAAAAATGCTTAATAAATTACACAAAAACTAGCAGCAAAAGTAGAATCTAGAAATCTGTGCAAATGGCTAAATTTCCCACCCGCCGACTGCTAAACCCCCCCCCCCTGGTCCCAAATAAATCCTGGTTTTTAACATTGAGAACCCACACCCCTTTGTAAACAAGCTGCGTTTTTTTTGTGTTTGTTTTACTCTCCAACCGCCACCGATCTCCTCACACACTGTATTTGGAAGCCTAAGGACACATAAGCCAGACATCTATATAAAACTCTGGATGTGCAATAAAAAGAATGTTAGTAAAACTTGATGGGCACAAACATGCAAGCGCGCGCGCACGCACACACACGAGGGTCTCGACGCGGCGAAATCAAGTAGCACCATTCGACCTCGGCTTCTCAACGCGATCAGTGCATCTGCTTTAATTCGCAGAAGTAGTTTTATTAAAAAACGTTTTCAAGGCACAACACACCTGATGAGAGCATCCGAGCATGGCCACACGTGTGGCCATGCAGACAGTACTTTAAATGACCCCCTCCACAGGGGACGACACGAAACCCTCCCCCATCCAGTGGTTACACCAATGACAACTGCGCCCCATTTCACTTAGCCCCGCCTCCTCACTTCCTGGTTAAATTGATAACCCCGTCATCTTTTAAAGCAGGGGTGGGGAACCTTTTTCTAATCCTCAGCGAGCACACGTGAGGTAACGATTGAACAATTTGTTTGCTTCTTAAGTGTTGACTGTTGGCCAACCCCTGCTTTAAAGCGATGAAAGGTGGCCCCCAACCCCCAAAACGCAGCTTGAAAAAGAGAAAATGTTGAAGCCTGCGACTCACGTGACCTTTCACCTTGACCAAAAAACATAACACTTGCACATGTGGACCGTCGCAGTGCGAGATGGGGTCGACGCTGCAATACGCCCTCCCGATGCGGTGGTCCTTTTAATGCAGCCTACTTTCACGATTTACGCAGGTGTTTTTTTGTTTAGATGCGAACGCAAACAAAAAATCGGACTCAGTTTTTTTTTCTTCTACAATTTGTACATCGAAAAAAAAAGTGAACCACAAACACACGGTCCACTTTGTGTCGCTAGCGCTCGGTAACGTGGTAGCTGCCGTAACACTGTCAAGTCAATTGAAATAAGAAGGAAAACAAAATGGTGGAGTAACAAGTTCGTTGAAACATTAGCCATTGTTGGCACTGAACTGGATGACGTGCATTTAACGGGCGTGGTTAATTCAGAGAACAACCACTGCCTTCGCGGTAAAATCAAAAGGAGCCAGTTCAGGATAGAGTGAGCAAAAAATAAAAAAAAAATTCAAATGCGGATAATTCAGAGCGGCACAGTGGGCCCGTCAGCTGTTTGGTAGAGAATTTGAGGTTCAAATGGAATCGTGACTCAAGGAGCCACAACACTCCAGTTTTTGCCAAGGTTTGATTACATATGAGCTTTTCTCTCTTTTTTTTTTTTTTTTTACATTTCTGATATTAGCCACCAAACTTAACAATCAAAACTAAAATGTGAGCTCTTGGCCATTTGTCAGGAGAAATAAGAACACAGATTTAACCTGTTTCAATTCCAAAAAGCAGAGAAGATGAATACACAAGTGCTCCTCCGGTTGTTGGTTTGGCTATTTCAAGGGGGGTCAGGGGTTTCTCCCCCAAAATGCTTCTTCTAATAACTGTGCATATGTCAGCGTCCATGCTCACACTCAGAGGTGCGCTCGTCGCTGCAGTGCACATGTGTGTGCACGTGCTGCTGCCGACTTTCCTTAGCGTCACGCTGCGCTCGTGTGATTGTTTTGAGACGAGCGCCCGGCCGAGAACCAGGCTGGCTAATGTACTGTATGTCCGTGAAGCTACACAGGGAGGGTTGTTACGGTCTGGCGTTTTTTTTCTTTTGAAACATGTGGTTTCCCATCAGGGTGGCATGGCAACCTACTCCTCTAGCGACTAGTTGCCCCACCAGTCCACACTTCCCGAGTGGCTGTAGTTTCCTCCGTAGCCGTCGTTGCCGTAAAAGTTGCCTCCAAAGCCACCTGGAAGAAGGACGGCAAACACACTCTGGATCAGCTCGTGACCACCAAAATGCATCTCAACAGGTATACTCCAAGTATTTGAAACAAAGCAGTGCAATAACTGGTAAAGTGTTGCAACAAAAGGACGCTAATTAGTGGGTTTAAAAGCAAACGGGAACAACTTTGTCTGGGCAAGCAAATTGAGCGCATCTTCAATAGAAACTGCAATACGTTAAATGTTTTTGTAAATAGCTTGCAACGCCAGGCTTTGCTGAAGGTCTCTTGACTTTAAGATAAGAAAACCTTTAGTCTCGCAATGGAGAAATTCCCAATTCACAGCAGCAAAGTTATGAAAGGAAGATTTAATTTGAACATGTCCACAACTTATTGGAGTCCGGTCAAAGTTCATAAATTCACAACCCTGAACCTACCATATTATGGAATGGGCTAAAATGTTAGCAGGCTGCTGAAATAAATTTCAACAAAGGCTGTTTCGTCTGTTTTTTTTTTAAATTCATGCCTTAAATTTGAGCGAAAACACCAAGTTTGAACAGTAATGTATAATATTTGTTTCATTTATTTTTGTTTGAAAATACCTAACTGGAAATGTTTCTCGAAAATAAAACCCTTTTCTAATGTGCAGATGCATTTAAGAAAAACAAAAACCATAAAAAGGAAATCCAAGGCACAAATATTACTTTAACCAAATACTTGATTTATTGATTGAATTTTCCATATATTTGAATACTAAAATATTTCCTTAGCTGCGGGCCGAATGTGGTTGTATGTTTTTAGGCAAGTGAAAATTTCCCTCTTTTACCTGAATTCCAAAAGTTTGGATGTTCCACTAGTTGAAGTTCATCACAAATTAATCTAAAAAAACTCAACTTTCCAACATGTAAAATGGAAACGGCAGTATTGGTGGCAAAACAGATGTGGCACATGACCAACCTCCACCGAAGCCACGGTTCCCTCCATGTCCACCAGAAGTTCGGCCTGTGCGGTTGCCACCGAAGCCTCCAGATCCTCCTGGTGTCTGTCGGTAGTCCCGAGCGCCAAAACCACCAGAAAACCTATAGGAGATTCGAGGTGTCAAAATGAATCCCCTAATCAATCATCAAATAATCAACGCATCTTTAATCTGTATTTTTTTTTAATAATTTGATGAATCTTTTAAAGCCGTTCGGTTTTCCCAGTCGCTTATCCTCGCAAGGCCTCACAGGTGTGCTGGAGCTCTTCAATTTAAAATTAACCATATCCCCTGATTTCAACGTCTCAAAAGTAAATGCTTTTTGTGTAAATGTGCATCAACGCTAATTGAAGGTTAACTTTAAGGCTAATACATATCAATTTTGAAGATATTTTAGAAGTAAAATTTCACCAATTTAGTGGAATCGCTCATATAAACTTTCACATGGAACGAGGGCATCCTCTTAGAGTGCATTTGTTTTGTTCGATGCCAAACAATACATTGAATATGGTTATTTATAGGCTTAAAAGGCACAAATTAAGAGTCCACACAGCTAGTTGTTGGGTATGTGGTTGACTTCTCTCATCTCGAAACAACACTAGTGATCAGTAACCTTTTTTTAAAATACAACCAGTGGGGTACAAGCCTGCTCGTCGCCAAATCATTTGCACTCAGTTGGACGCGAATCACCTGTCACTAACGTGTATGACGCTTTCTCAACTCCATTTCAAGAGGAGGCTTCTTTATCAAGCAAGGCAGATGTATTTAGGAGAATCTTTTGTCTTGCCTCTTATAGTATGGGATGGACTTTTTGGGGATTGTCGTTATGCTCCTTTCAGATCTGTGCGATTTACCTCTTGGAGCGACCGCGACTGCTGCTCTTGTGCTGGTGCTCGTAGGCCAGGCTCTCCAGCCAGGACGGGACCTCCTGCTTCGCCTCCACCAAAATGTCCAGTAAGTCTTTGGTTATGTTGCTGTTTTTGTCGTTAAAGAACGACGTGGCCAGACCTGTGGGTGAAAAAGCCAATACAAACGTGACAGAACCTGCAACGTTGGTGTGCAAAGGAAGCAAAAGATAATCGAACAATTCAAAATGGATTTCATTATCGATTTGTTGTGTCATACAATCGTGTCAGTCACCCCCCGCATTGCGCCTTTTACAATACACAGATAGCATGAGTATTGTGCAACAGGCAGTGGTGATGTTTAACACTTAAGCGCAGTCCGCCCCCCCGCCCCCAACAAATCGCACCCATTCATACACAGCCCTATTATGTATATATGAATATAATAAATTGATTCATACCAAGGTTGCCCACACGTCCCGTACGGCCGATACGGTGAACGTATTCTTCAATGTCACTGGGCAGGTCGAAGTTAATGACATGCTTCACATTGGAGATGTCCAGACCTCTTGCAGCCACCTTGAAAACCAAGACCACCATTTTGTCATCTACTTGACATCGAGCATTTAAGTTTTTTTTCATGGATGACTTACAGCTGTGGCCACCAAGATTGGGCAGCGCCCTGAGCGGAATTGGTGGAGAGCTTCCTCGCGGTCTCTCTGAGACCGATCACCGTGGATGCTGGTGCAGGCGTAGCCCTCATGATACAGAAAGTCCTCCAAAGCATCTGCACCTTTCTTGGTCTCCACAAAGACAAGAGTCAGCGAGTCTTTGCCTGCATAAAGAGCGGGGGAGAGGGGGGAGGTTGAACGACAATGTACGAACAAAACTAGTTGTATGAACTCTTCTCGGTCATGACAAAAGAAAATTAAAATGACAATATTGAAAGAATAAAAGGGATTGCAGTATCTTTATGCCCGACTATCACTAATGGGCATTTATTTGAGTTAAAGAAAAAAAAATGACAACAAATGGGAGCAATAATGGCTTTTGGGGTAAAATCTTTGAATACAAGTACAATGGCAGGGTTTGATGGAAAGGAAAGGTCATTCCACATCACATTTACAGCCAACCTCCACTGCGACAGAAGGGAGAACAAAAACCTTGCCATTCCTCAAGCATGAGCAGATTTTAATTAATAGGACCATGTCAGCCATAACGACTGGCAGGAAACACTGAGCGTAAAAGCTATTTGAAACAGTTTACATCCACACTGCAAAGGGCCCCCAAAAACCCCAGGGGTGGGGGATGGGTGCGGTGGGGTGTGTGCGTGGTCTGTGGGATGTCATGTTTCTTTTTTTGGCTCTCATACTCACCTGGCTTTTCTGGGGCATCTGTCCCACTTTCCTGAATCTCATTTGGAATAACTAAGATAAAAATCAAAACCAGGCCAGAGTGTAAGCCTGCGTGGTACACAGCATTCAGACTTTATCCAGACTCCCCACTAAACACTGAACAAATTCTACAGCCGCCGTTTAGCTCGGCATGGGGGTACCACACAGAAAGCACCATAAGAATTTACACCAGTGAGGAAAAAAACTAAAACAAAGGGGTCCTCTCACCTGTGGCATTAAGAAGGTCTAAGAGGAAGGACCTCTTGTCGGTCTCCTCGACCCAGACCACCTTCTGGGTGATGTTTTCTGAGGTGGAACCAACGCGGCCGACTGCCAGGAAAATATAGTCCTCAAGGAAATCGCGCGCCAGGATCTGAATGAAAGAAAACCACAGTTGTTGCAACTTGCAAACTCTCGAGGTAGTAGGGCTGAACTATTAATCAAAATGTAATCGTGATTTCTCACGATCACAAAAAGGTTATAATCCAGGAAAATCATTGCGCCGAATGCACCCTTGCTTGTAGCAAGCTTGTGACGCGTGCTATTCTGCCATCCTTCAGCGTGCATTTCAGTTTTTCGGGCGGCCAAATGTTACCCATCGCCCGTATTTTGTTGGAGAAATGATTGACCGTTAACTTGTTTCACGCGCAACGCTGATTGTTGGCTGAACGCTAGCATGGCTCAATATGATGCAGTGCTCTGGGAACTAATCATTTGCTTTCCTTTCAAGTTCACACAGCGCAACTAATTAATTATCACCTACACTGCAGCGAAAAAGCAGTAAACAGTTTTGGTTCATAGTGTTCAATCCATTTGTGTTGCACTAAGGCAGTGGGATTCGGGAGTGTTTATTCCAACTCTGTTGTGTCGTCGTGTGCCTCTGCCAAGCTGCCCCCCTCCCCCAGATGTCAATAGAAAACATCACATGACAGGCTAACAAAAATAGCATTAAAAGTTACACACTGCCTCTAAAAGGCCATGGTTTGCACAGCAGAGACGGCAGTTGTATTGGTTTCATATTTCCATTATTTCTGCATAATGGATTTGCTAAAAATTCATTTTGTCGTTATTTTTTTAAGTTTCTGTACGTTTTAATTAAGGTTTTAGAAGTTGAATAAATAAATTTTAATAAAAGTTTTGAACTCAATGAATCACATTTATTAATGCTGATTTCACAATGAAAATATTGCTTCGCACATCCGCCTCACAGTGCAGAGGTCATGGGTTTTAATTCGACCCAAGCCTTCCTGTGTGCCGTTTTCATGTTCTCCCCACACTTGCGTAGATTTTCTCCAGGTACTCTGGTTTCCTCCCCCATTCCTAGAGCATGCATTGCAGGTTGATTGGAGTTTCGAAATTGTCCATAGGTGTGACTGTGTATGAACGGTTGTTTGTCTATTCGCGCCCCAAGATTGACTGGATGAATCTTGCCTCTAGCCTGAAAAAAAGCTGGTGTAGGCTCCAGCATGTTTGCAACCCAAGTGAGGAGAAGCGGTTCAGAGAATGAATACATGGATAATATTGTTCTCATAATCAAACAGCCCTATGTATTGTTATACAGACCTGGATCTCCTTGGGGAAGGTGGCGCTAAACATCATGGTCTGACGGATGCCTTTTGGCGGCATGGTGTCTTGCTCCACAATACGTCTTATCTGTGGCTCAAAGCCCATGTCTAACATGCGGTCAGCTTCATCCAGCACCAAGTAGCTACACATTTTAATAAATAAAGAGATAAACACATAAATACACATCTTTTTTTAAACTCATATCCCAGGAGCGCTCCCAGTACAAAGTGCATCACAATGCTATACTGACTTGCAGTAATCAAGACCAATCTTGCCCCTCTCCATCATGTCGACCAGGCGACCCGGAGTGGCAACCAGCAAGTGACAGCCTCTCTCCAAGTCCCTGATTTGCTGGCCAATGTCAGCGCCACCGTACACCACACACGGGCGCACACGTGAGCGATAGGCAAACTGGAACGGGAGACGGAAACACATTGTTATTATTGTTACTAATACTATTTAAATCATCATAGTGCTGTGCTTACGAGCTCACCTTTCTGGCCTCATCATAGATCTGAAGTGCCAGCTCTCTGGTAGGAGCAAGGACGAGGGAGATTGGGTACTGCTTACGACGCCCGTATCTTCCATTCTCCTATTGGATTCATACAAATATCATGAGACTGAATATATTTTTCGAAGCTGGAAGCAAAGATACAGTGCCGTGAAAAAGTATATGCCCTCTTCCTCTGACAGATTCTATTTGTGATTTCTCGATTCAACAAATGTGGTCGTAATGAGGTTGGGTGTTGTTCATGAAATTCAACTCAGCTTTGCCAAAACTGTCGCTAGTCACAGTTACTTTGTGATTTAACAAAGACGGGGCAATTTTTCCACAAAGGGCGAGATAGGTTATAATACCCCTTTCGTTTTAGTAAATCAAATCGTCATTTTGAAACTGTATTTTATATTTCCTTGGGTTGTGTCTGTGTGATATTAAAATTGGTTTGATGAACTGAAACTTGTGTGTGATAAATAAGCAAAGAACACAGAAATCCGTAAGGGGGCAAATACTTTTTCACAGCACTGTATGTTTTCTACAGGGGTTAACCTGTCCACTATTCTTGGCTGCCTGCAGAGCGTCTCCTGGCCCATCTGTGTAGATCTGGCTCAGCACAGGAAGCAGGAAAGCCGCAGTCTTTCCGGATCCTAAAATATAGCACATGGCAAAGATTCTGAAAAACTGCATCAAATGATCCAGTCGTTTTCTGCATGTGTGAGTTGAACAAATCTTACCAGTCTGGGCACAGGCCATGAGGTCTCTCTTGGACTTGATAATAGGAATGGCATGCTTCTGGACTGGAGTGGGACGTGTGTAGCGACTCAGGGTGATGTTGCCCATGATAATCTCCCCCATGTCCACGTCATGGAACTACAACAAATAAATTAAGTTATTCGTGCAAGAACATGAGCGGATCCATACAACTGTCGATGACAAACTCACACTTTCAATATGAGGTGGGCAGTTGCTTCCCGTGGCCTCTACGGGGATATCATCATACTTCTCAAAGTTAATCCCCGTATTGCTGCCTGAGAAGAGCTCACTAGACAGAAAATTAGATGAGTGCATGTTTAAGAAGAGCACAGACACGACGAGCTGACAGCAGGTTGTTTGATATTTCAGTTCATCTGTGGCTTACTGTTCCAGACGCTCATTTGGGGCAGTAGGCTTGGACCAATCCTCGTCTCTGGATTCTTCGGCCCAACGACTGTTTCCGCCTCCAGAAAAGCCGCCACGTTCGTACCTGAACACACCGAACACTTAAATACTGCGCTCTAAACAACTTTTCACTCAAATACAATGAATACAACAAGATTGTTTAACAGTGGCAATTAGGCCCTTGGAAGAGCAGATTAAAGATTACTATAATTAAAGCCTTCATTTTGAAAAATCAAATTTTTAATATATTTATTTTTAAGACCAAGTGCAGGTCAATTCAAGTTTGAGGTTTTATCTTGTTTCCCCAAATTGCATTGTGGGTCAAATCAAATGCTCTCACTATTGATAACCCTATAAAAAGACCAAACGGGGAGTCAAAATGCACAAGTCTCACCTTCCCCTTGAGCCTGCTCCGCGGTCATTAAAGAAGGCAGACTTTGACCTGTCGTTACGTCCTCCAAAGCTGTTGAAGGCATTGTCTCTTGCCTGTCCACCCCAATTGCCATCCTTGCTCTCGTAACCACCAAATCCTAGAAGGAGCAAAGAAAGAATCCATCAGACATTTCCTGAAAATCTGCTTTCAGGCCAGCAGGTGGCCTCCACTTATTGCCCAAGTATATCCCTTCATAATATCCATCTATCCATTATCCAAACCACTGTTCCTCACAAGGGTCGCGGACATCCTCGTGCCTATCCCTGAACTGGTTGCCACCTTTGATTAAAGTTTTAATCCAACTACTAACTGGTAATAGTTTAGAAAGGTTAGTGTGAGGTTTCAGGGCTTATCTTTCAAAGTAAACCAGATTTTGCCTACCTAAGAGTGAATTCACATAAGAAAAGTTCCAATGTCTGCTTGTTGGTCCAAACAAAAAGCAGACCTAATTTTTTTTTGTTTAGCGTGGTTCACATTCGCACAGTAACTTTTGCATGCAAGCTCTATTCTGTAAACACATCACGACGTGTGACGATTTGTGCTCCCATAGGACAGCAACAAGGGCTGCACACAAACCTAAAATTTCTACATGCTGCAGTCTTGCTCTGCATATTTGTGTTGTGGTTAGAACTGCAAAATAATTTGGAGTGTCAAGAGTAGCTCATTCAACGCAGGTTTCGTGACACTAAATTTTGGAATGGTGTCAAGTGAATGTGTGCAGTATCCCACAAAACTGATGTGCTCTGACCCATAATATGCTGGGAGCAGTGAAGTTAAAGAAAAGACGAAGGATCATCTTTGATCAACATTAACGAAGAGCTACCATTTCCCACACTGCCAGGCGAAGGTGGCTTGTTAAGCCCAAAAAGTCACACAAATACTGTGCTTGGTTTGTATTCAGACCTGAAGAAAACGCCATAATTTGCGTTCGGAAGTGCACAGAGACCACCTAAAAATATAAATGGGTCTCCACCCGGTTGTTTGCTCGAAGCCAGGATTTATGTGTGTGAATTCACACCTGCATAAAAGGTCCGGACCACCTAGTGTGTTCTAAGTGGATCAAACATTACAGTTGAATGCAGCGAATACTTAATTCTATTAGGAACATGATAATGAGACATTTGTTATGGTAAAATGTGGTCTCTCAACCCACGTAAAGTAATGGCTAATTTAAGGGAGTCATCATACCAACCTCTATCATGGCGAGGAGGTCCACGCCCTCCAAATCCCCCATTTGTGCGGTTGTCGTGGTAACCATTCACAAATCCATTGCTGCGGCCACCATCCCATCCAGAGGAATCTTGGGAGGTACAAAACCAAAAACACTGGATTAAACTTGCTCAGAACTAACTACAATGTTGCAAATTTTGATTTGCAAAGAACTAACATTTAGCCCCTATATAATTTAACATTCAAAAGACAGATGGATACCAGCAACTATTCAGAAAACTGGCAGAATTCACAGAAGTTTTTTTAAGCAGGAAAAAAGGAAAGCATTGTCTAGAGCAGTGGATGAGGTATGTGAGCCACAGATAATTTTGTTCCCACCATTATTAATATTGTTATCTACATATGCCATTGGCATAGAGCGGCAGGCATTTCCTGTTCGTAACTCCGTTAAAGGGCCGATTTGTCCGTCAAAATTGCGCCCCCAAAGCCCCCATCAAAAGCCATGGCTACACAGTAAAAATGTCCGTACGCAAATGGCATTTTGTTTTGCGGCCAGTTTCACATAGTTATTAACATAAAACCCAAGCATCACCCAAGCCGCTTATCCTCACATCGCTTGACATAAAGTTTAAAAAATGTTATAGTTTGTCAATCTGATGACGCAATGTTTACATATATAGGCAGCGGGCCCACGGCATAGGAGCAAGGGCTAGCAAGCCAGCCGATGAGGTGGGACCCTTCCGGATGGTTTGAAGGAAATTCTGGTCCACGCTCTGGTGTCTCAGGAGGGGAAAGTGATGTACCATTAACTGTTTTGTGAAGACGGTTTGCTTCGAACACCTCAATTCCACCAACACGCATTCCACTGAGGAAGCAGTCTCTTAAGACTCTGAGATGGGCTCTCCCACACATCAATGTGGTTAAAAAACTCCTGGAGGTCGATAAGATCATCCCGGAGTTCTTGAGGCTCTGGATGTTGTTGGGCTGTCCTGGTTGATAAGATATTACAAAATGTTGTGGACTTGGAAAAACAGTTCAATCATGTCCCTTGAAGTTCTGTGGCGGGTGCTTCGGGGGGTGGTTTGGGCGTGCGGAGTACCGAAAACCCTGATATGGGCAATGCGTTCACTGTGCCACTGATGCCATCGTTTGGTCCACATTGCCGGCACTAAATAGGACTTGTTTCCATTGGGGGTTGGAGTCCGCCAAGACTTCCCTTTGTCACCGATTCTGTTCACAATTTATTTTTTCATAATTTATGGACAGGATTTCTAGGTGGGATGAAAATCAGCACCTCCTAATCTGAGACCATGGTCCTCAGTCAGAAAAGGGTAGAATCCCCTCTCCAGGTCAGGTATTCTCCCCATGCAGAGGAGTTCAAGTATCTTTTGGACTTGTTCACGAGTGATGGCAGGATGGAGTAGGAGATTGACAGCCAGATCGTTGCACCGTCTGCTGTGATGCAAACTCTGCATATCTGTCTGTCGAAAGGCGAATGTCTCGACGGGCGGATCGGTGTAGCGACTGCTGTGGTGCAGAATTTGTATTGTTCTGATGCGGTGAAGAAGAAATTGAGCCAAAAAAGGTGAAGCGCTCAATATACCGGTCAATCTATGTTTCTACCCTCACCATGGTCACGAGCTGTGGGTGATTGCTAGAACATGATCCTGGATACAAGCAGCCAAAATGAGTTTCCTTCGCAGGCTGCCGGGCTCTCCCTTTTGAGATAGGGTGAGATGCTGGGTCATTGGAAGGCACTCAGAGTTGAGCCACTGCTGCACCACATTGAGAGGAGACAAACGAGGTGGCTGAGGCAGCTGGCTAGGGTCCCAGTTGCTTCTGCTGACTACAGTCATACATCTCGCAGCGGTGTGTGCGTGTGTTTCCACAAAACCAGCAAGCCTTTGGTCACTTTATCTTTACAGTATACAGCAGCGCTTAAGTAAGCTGTTACAGTCAGTGGTTTGATCAAAGGTCTGAATATACTCATGCATTGTGACTGCAAACACAGAGGTATGTTATGTTTTTTCAAAACCAAACTTGAGTACATGGAAGTTTCCAAGACACGGGAACTATGCTAATTAGGTTTCATGAATGCAAAACATGTAATTACAGTATTATGTCATGCTTTGCCTTGGCATGGGCTCATAACCGGTTTGACAATCTAACCGTGGTTAGAACTTCTATTAAACCACGAATGATATTTTGGATTACGCAACTTCCTAACTCCAAAAGCACTATTCCCGCTAAAGATAAGTAAAGCTGAGCAAAACACTCATGAAACACTCGCCAAGTTCAGAAAACATGCACTTACACACTCGTACTACGCATCACCGCTCCATTTGCGACCATAGCACATGTGTTGTATGTGCCGGAACATTTCGGACAGTATTTGTCAAAAGATCACAGCTGCATTTTTTTCAAATTTATATGCAATAACGGCGCAAACAGCTCTACCTACCATCTGTGTGAAGGACCATCCAGAAAACCACATTGTCTGAATTATTGCAAATTATTGTGGAAAATAATTTTGGTCAACCTCAAACAAGCAAGACTTCAGACACTCACAAGAGCTGTAACTTGTGTAAGAGGCTCCTTCTTCCTCCACTTATTACCTGTCTTAATTACACCTGTTTGAACTTGTTTTAACAGTATGAAAGACACCTATACACAACCCCAAAACAGTCACACTCTAAACTCCACTATGGTCAAAACCAGAGAGTTGTCAAGGGACATCAGAAACAAAAGTAGAGACCTGCACCAGGCTGGGAGGACTGACCCCGCAATAGTAAGCAGCTTGGTGTGAAGAAATCAACTGTGGGTACAGGTTTTAGAAAATTCAAGACATACAAGACCGCCGGTAGGCTCACTCGAACTGGGGCTCCGTGCAAGATCTCAGCCCAAAATGTTCACAAGAACATTGAGCAAAAATCCGAGAACCACGTGATGGATCTAGTAATTGACCTGCAGAGAGCTGGGACCAAAGTAACAAAGGCCATTATCGGCAACACACTACGCCACCAGGGACTCAAATCTCTGCAGTCCCAGGCGTGCCCCCCCCCCCCCTGCTTAAGACAGTACATGCCCAGGACGGTTGAAGTTTGCAAGAGAGCATTTGGGTTTCTGCAGTTAGCCTAACAGCAGATATGTGGACATCCATAAACACAGACTCATGTCTGGCTGTGACCTGCCATTTTATTGATAAACATACTTCATTGTGCAGTGTTTTTTATGGGGATAGGCCATTTCCATGAGACGCATACTGCTAAATATCTTGTTCGGGTAAAAACTGCACTCATGTCTGACTGGAGTATCATTGACAAAGTTACTTGCCTTGTGGAGCAGCTGACACGGATGCAAATGGCTGGCCAGCACTAAAAAGCTCATTCAAGTAGTCGAGACAAGAGGTAACAGCACGTTTTTAATGTGCCCTGTGAAAGAATATTTTCTAAAGCTGGTGAAATGCTTTCCAAAAAAACAAACTGTTTCAAGCCAAACACTGTGGGAAAGCTATTATTTCTAAATAAAAATGAACAACAAATTATCCTTAAATTAAAGCACTTGTTGCAATTTGTTCATATAGTAGCACAAGCACATTCATATTTTCTTAAACAAACACCCATAGAATTCTCAACACTGTTGACATCTTGTGCTTCGAGATGGCGCCATAGAGCAAATGAAGCACCGTGAAGCTTTGAACCATGTGCACCCTTAAGGGGGACTAACTCCCATCATACTACCGGAGACAAATTCCTTGTGTGTTATACATACTTGACCAAAAAAGATTATTCTGATCACACATCATTAATGAGAACACAATGTAGAATGAGTAGAAGCAACACACACCAATGCTTCCAAAATTTAGACTTTCCCTTTGGGCACTCATTGTCTGATGGCTGCAGACTGCATGGCACTCTGCCCGTATTACCACTACTTTCAGACCTTTATCTCTGCATTTGACTATTTAACCCAGTGGTCCCCAAACTACGGCCCATGGGCCGGATCCGGCCCCCCTGAACAACACCAGAGTATTTTGATTTATTTTTCATCTGTGTATTTGATCATAAAGTTGGGCTTTTGCAATAAAGTGTTCTTAGTTCTGAACTATTTTCACTATTAACTATTATTTAGTAACTATTTCATAAACACATATAATGCAACATTTGTTCCATCCATCTGCGGTCTGTGCCTTATAACCGGCAACCCCCCCCCCAAAAATCCAAAACCCGCCCCCCTCAAAGAGAACGTAATCAAAAAAAAAATTATTCAGAATGCATGGTATTTAACCCAAAGTGGACAAACGATTTTTTTTAATGCAAAGAAAAGGCTGTCTGTCATCTGTAAAGAGGCGGTATCCAAAGAATACAATGTGCGGAGACACTATGAATCCCGTCACAAAGATAAGTATGATAGCTTGCATGGCCAAATGTGAGCAGACAAACTGTCAAAGCTAAAAAGTGGAATGTTAGCTCAGCAAAATACATTTGTACGCCAAGCTCAGCCGAACCAGCAATCTACTCTGGCTAGCTTTCGGGTTGGTCGACTGATAGCAAGCAGCGGTAAACCTTTTACTGATGGGGAGTTTGTCAAAAAATGCATGAATGCTATCGCGGAGGAGGTGTGTCCTGAGAAGAAAGATGTCTTTAATTCCGCAAGTCTATCAGCGAGTACAATCACCAGATGTATAGAAGAAATAGCGGGTAATGTATATGCCCGGCTGCAGCAGAAGACAAAAGAATTTGAATTATTTTCATTAGCACTGGATGAGATCACAGATGTGCAGGACACAGCGCAACTGCTAACTTTTATTGGTGGAGTTAGCGAAAACTGAGATGTGCGAGGAGCTGGCAGCCCTCCAAAGTCTCAAAGGGACTACGACGGTGGAGGATATTTTTCAGCAAAGTGCACTAAACTATGGAAGAGTTAGACCTGGACTAGTCAAAGCTAGCCAGCAACACAACTGACGGGGCTCTGAGTATGGTGGGCGCATCTCTCGGGGGTCTAATAGGACGCATGATGCGGGAGAACTGGGTTTCAAATTGACTGTCTAATTCACCAGCAAGCACCGTGCTGCAAAATATTGACGTGGGATTCTGTCATGAAGGCTGTGGGGTCGTGCATAAATTTCATCAGAGCAAAGTTGATTATTATTTGTTTCATAAATGGTATAATTTATTTCCTGGCTTTTTTTTTTGTGAAGAACCCGGGGAGGGTTATTTATTTCATTAATAGCGTTATTTATTTCCTGACTTTTGTTCTGTGAAGAATCTAGAAAAGGTTATTTGATTTTGCGTGGGTTTCTGGAAAATATTTTTTTTGTTTAGGTACTCTTGCAGTCACACTTTTTCTGTTACAAACTGACCCCCATCAGAGAAGCGAAAAGTTATATGGACTTCAGAGGAAAAAGTTTGGGGACCACTGATTTAGCCTATGCTTGTGTTCAAATTAAGCCAAAATAGAACTAAAATATAGCAAAGGTACTGTTTATCCAGCACCTAATCAAATCAAAGCTTTGAGCCCAAATCTTTTGTCTATGCATGATCTGGATTGTTTTTGGCACACAATTATGTGAAAGCCAAGGCTACCATTTGTGAAAAAAAGTAATCATTTTATGTTCAAGTCTTGATTGTGCTAAAGGTGGGACCATACAAAGGATTATGCTTGAGGGCTTTATATCACGTATTAGTAGAAACAGCCAGTGATGCAGTGCATTCATTTATCAAAAGCACCAGCACCATGCTCCTGTGGTTTTTGCTCAAAAGGCCAAGACACACCGACTATAGAGTCGAGAGGGCATGCCAGGGTGTACCACATGTGTTTCGCCAGCCTCCGCTGTAGGCATGGTAAAGGGCAACCTCTTCAGAGGCCAGTCTTGGGTAACCTGAGCAAAGGTAGGGAAGCAGGCTATAAAAAGACTCACGTGGAGTGACCGACTCATGTGATACGAGCGGGTGAGGCCTCGACACAGCACTAATAGTTACCAATCTCGGGGTCAGCCCATCCTGACGCAGAGGAGTTATTTCTTTGGGTCGCTTGGCTCTCTGCCTGCCATGGCTTTGGGGGAACTTGGGAAACATTGCAAGTGACAAATGGCCTTGAGGGTAGAATGGAATAACTAGGGAGTTCGACCACATCTTCTGGGAAAATGCCCCAAAGAAAACACTCTGTGATTAGTTGCAAGAGAGGTTTTTTTCAATTTTGAGATACTACCGCAGCTAGGTACCAGTGATTGAAGCAGGAAATTGTGGTCAACCATACAAATGGTAATGGTAACTCATGAAGATGTCCGGTTGCTTTGTGCTTTTAACATTTCAATTAACACACAATTTTGAACTACTAGTTGGACAATTTTGTACCAAAAAATAGTCAACTTTAATTTTGTGTTTAATTGGATTAACTAATACAATTCAATTCCAATTGCATCCACACTTTTAAAAAGTTTGACAATGCAAATTGTATTTTGTAGAAAGTGTAATGGCTAATGATAAGCAAGAAAAGGACGAGTGGAGGTTTAAAAGTCTGGTAAAACTAATGTAGTCTTCAAATGGTGGGTAGTTTCACTTTAATACCACAGTTTACTATGCATAAAACATAACGAGTAATCACTTGCAAATAGCCTCTTCCAAGCAGATGCTAATATATGCAATATGATTAGATTATTATAAAAATATTTTGCCAAGCAGATGCTAATAAATTATGATGGCTAATACCTTGCATGGGGAAAAAATACACGAGAATATTCTAAGTGCTTTTGCATGATTGGGAAAGATACAGAAATAAGAAATATCCCATGGTTAAAATTAAAGTGAAGAGCACCCATCTTAACCAAAGCTTGCCCCAACCCCCTTCACACTGGCTTTGCTACGGCTACTTCATGCATGTGGATATGCAGATTTGCCCTCAGCAAAAGCAGACAGAAGGGACTTACAGAGATTTACTGGTGCCACTGAATAACCGCACTGTCTAGCAGCGGAATAAGCATTTCCTGCTGTGGAATAAGAGCACAGTAAAAAAACGAAAAAAAAATTGTCAAGCGTGTTACACAAAAAGACTTCAAAGATGCAGTCAAGTGTAAAATGAAGTGAGCTAGCTGTGCCTGGCACACGACATGTCATTAAGGCCACCGTTGCAGCTGGGGAAACTGAACACCTTTGTGCAAATGAACATGTATGGGTGAAAAATTTGTCCAATGTGTGCAAAATTGAATCCATTGTGACACTGTGGAAGTTCAGGGTGAAAATTTGATCCCAATTACATTTTGTGACTCATTAGCCTAACTGTACCCAATATCAAATGATACAGTGGTCACTTCTTCACAAAACAAGCTACCATAGTGAAAATTGTCACAGTATAACTGAATGTTTAGGAAACAATTAAGTAGTCGGCTATAAGCCTCAGTGTGTTTTCCATCATTTTGGCTCTCTTCACCATGATTTCGGTAACTTAAAACGGAGAAGGCATGGCTGAAAACTCACCATTTTTGGGACCATCTTTGTTCCTCAAGTGAGGTGGAATGTAACGTCCTGGAAAATGGAGAGTAAGAGAGCCTGTTTCAAAATTCAAAAGGTAACTATTTATCAATAAAAGTTGAAGAGCAATTTACAGAAAGGACACCATGTGAATAAACCACATCAAGTAGATACACCCACAAATTCAGTCATAGGGGGATCACAGTGTACCCCACCACTCACATCCTTCAAATCTGTCTCATCATTGCACCTCATCTTGCATTTAAAAGACAGACGAAATCAAATGGTGAAATCAAATACTTACTGCCAGTTCCTCCGCCTTGTCCCTCAACAGAGTTCAAGTCTAGGGCAGCAAGCTACAAAGAAAACAGAAATATGAGATTACGTAATGAAACGTGACGGAAAATAATTGCATGTAAACTTGAATGGATGACAATGTGCAATTATTTAATGTTAAGATGCGATTGAGACGTAACTATGTGATAATATTCGTCCAGCGTTATCATGGGAAGTCCATCGATATCACCAAAGGCCGCGAACTAAAAAATAATAATATTGCGACACGTACTTTGAGTTAAGTATTGGCGACACTATTCGAGTACCAACCGTGAATGTTAGTGTCGTAAGACTGGTTAGTATGTGCCTTTTAGACCCGCTGCCAACGGTTCTCTTTTTTTTTTCCTCCTGCGCCACGTTTCAGGTCGAGAAGGCCCAATGTTAGCTAACCCACTATACCGGCCGGTAAATGGTTTTAAATAGCCGTACACCGCAGATGGACGCTTGACAGCCTGCGTATGATGTTTCATAAGATTTTTTAAAAACACTTTAGACGTTAAACCGAGTGGTTTGGAGAAGAACTGGTGGCACCGGGTTATTAAGAGGGATCCGCCATCACAACTTTCCTTAACAAGCGAAATCGTCGCCTCCATTTTGCTAGTCGCCATATTAGCTTTAGCCCGAGCTAGCAAATAGGCTCGACACCAGACGCACTTGACGGCAAACCGCGACATAACACAAAAACTCGGAAGTACACAACGGGAAAACAGACTTACCTGCTGATCTAGACCGTGTGGATTGTCAACGACCACATGACTCATAACTAGAGAGTAGTGGGGGATTCTTTTTTTGAGGAGAAAGGATTTTTTTTCTTTGTTAGCGCGACCGGGCTATAGAGCAAGCAACTTTGTTTCCTCGTTTGTCTCAACAAAATTAGAGTAGAGTTGGTTTAAAGGGATGACGAGACAAAAAATGTTCACTTAAAAATAAATAAAACGCCGACACTTATGTTTAAATCTAAACTTAAGTTTCGAAAAGAAGCGGCCGCTGGTGCTGCTACCGGCGGGGTTGACCGTGCTGGAATGAGCCGCTCGACGTTCAGGTACCGCGAGATATCGCCTCGACTGACTGTCGAAGGGGGGCGGCAATATCGCGAGACTCTTCTTCTCATCGGTAGAAGTGTAGCGTTGTGTAATTCAATCAAAATGAATACCGTAATATGATCGGCGTTTCTGTGTCATTGTGTGTCATGGAAAACAACTACGCTTATTGCAAAATGTAAAACGTTTCACAATCCATGAACCACGCCTTTGAAAACTGAAAAATAACTACAATGTTCCATCCATCCATCTTCAACACTGCTTGTCCTGAACAGGCTCCCTGGGAGTTGCTGGACACTAGTGATGTGTCGTTCGCGAACGAGCCGGCTCTTAGAGCCGGCTCTTTGAAGTGAACGACATGAGCCGGCTCCTAAGAGGGAGCCGCTTTAATGGGAGCCGACTTTTTTTTTCCTCCTGTTTTTTCCCCCTTTCGGTTAAAGCCGCACGTGATTGGTCAAGATCCGTGGTAGAAGAGGGAGGAGAGGGTTACACACACGCACACGCACACGTCACGCACACACACACACACACACACACACTCACAGACACGCTCACAGACACACGCGCGCGCGCGCTTCAGTGAAGAGAAGGGGAAGGAGTCAGAGACACAGCAGCACACTGTGAGCAGCACACGAACAGGAGAGACAGGGAGACGAGAAAGAGCTCGATAGATATCAAATATTAATTTATCATTTGTTGTTTGGTAATCAAAGCTTACTTATGTTGTTTTAATGTAAATATTTAAACACTTATAAATATGCACAATCAGAGATTGGAACTTTTTGTTGACCTTTTTTTGAGATGGGTCTTTGTTTTTGTACTTTGTAATTTATTTTTTTGTAGCACTCCATGTTGTACGCCATGTTGAGTATGTTCAGAAGAATATAAATAAAGCCATATAAATAATAAATATTTGATATACTGTATATTTTTTACATTCGTAATTCATTTTACACATAATTTTACATTATTTTTGGTATTAAACTAATTTAAGCAACAAAAAAACTGAGGAGCCATTTGGGAGCCAAAAGAGCCGGCTCTTTTTAGTGAGCCGAGCCAAAAGAACCGGCTCTCTAAAAAGAGCCGGAATTCCCATCACTACTGGACACTTTCCAAGCAAGGCAGACTACAGTACAGTACACCCGAACTGGTCGCCAATCAGTTACAGGGGACATATAGAGACAAACGAATATTCACACCAACAAAAATGTTAATTTTGTTAAATGATCATGACGATTTTTTCATTAATATTGACTCAGGATTATTAATCACAATTATTCATCATGTTAAAAAAATCATCAGTATTTTTAATGTACAGTACTCCGTCCTCCGCAGATTACACACAGTGAGTCCGGTGCCACCGTTGGCGGCCCAATTTCCGCGAGGGGGGCGACACATCCCCTTCAGATGCATGACTATGTGCCCCTTACTTTCGTCATGTTATAATGTACAGGTGCCTGCCAAAAATTTGAATATCGAGGGGAAGTCAATTTATTTTAATATTGTAATTTTAGTTCACGACTTTTAAATATTTCAAGCATTTATGCTTCAGTTTTGATAGGTATAGCAGAAAGTCACACAAATAAAAAACAAAAAAAAAAACAATGTTTCACAAAATATCATGATAAAGTTCAACATTGTAGGCTCCCTGTATCCTAATGTTATCAGCTAGTTAACGCAAAACACCTACAGAGGTTTTCGTCAGCCTTTAAATGGTCTCAGTCAGGTGATTTAGTGAAGACTGCTGACTTGAAAACCATCAATGACACGCTACATAAGGAGAAAAAAAGAAATTGCAAAAGAAGCTGGATACTGCAAGAGCACTGTATCAAAGAGCATGAACAGAATGTTAAAACGAAGAAGAAAAAATGGCCAGAAGAGCTACAGAAGTGACAGGGGTGGAGATTATGTCAAGCAATGGCAATCCAAAAATTAGGGGTGCTTCATAGTAGACTGAGGCTGGTGTCAGTGCAACAAAAACCACCACATATGTCTGCATGACATCGGCTACATATAAAAAATTCCATGACTCAAGCCACCTCTGAACCAAAAACATCAGAAACGCCTGAGGTACGTTGAGGAAAAAAAGTACAGGTCTGTTGCCAAGTGGTTCCAAGTCTTTTCAGATGAGAGTCAATTTTGCATTTCATTTGGAAATGAAGGTCTCAGAGTGTAAACAAAAGTCAAACTGTTTAAAGCCCACTGTGAAGTTTCCAGGAATGGAATTGGGAACCATAATATTTGCCGGTGTGGGTCGATAGTCTTTTGTAAAGTCAGCACAGCTTTCGATCAGGAAATTTTACAGCACTCAATGCTTCCAGCTGCCACCGATCTTTATAGAAACTCATGGGAATCATTGTTGCATAAATACATGACTGTTTAGATAGACAGCAATGCTCACATTTTAAATATAAATCCAGAAGATGATCAGGTTGCCAAATTGTGATCACAATTATCCATCCGATCATCTATTTTCTGATCCGATTTATCCTCACAAGGGTCGCAGGGCGTGCTGGAGCCTATCCCAGTTGTCTTCAGGCATGTTTTTGGAATGTGGGAGGAACTGGAGTACTTGGAGAAAACCCATGCAGGCACAGGGAGAACATGCAAACTCCACACAGGAAGGCCGCAGCTGGAATTGAACCCGGTGCCTCTGTACTGTGAGGTTGACGCGCTAACCACTCGACTGCTGGGCCGCCCATGATCCCAATTAAAATGTGATTAATTGTGCAGCTCTATGACATCTCCAATGAAGTTGGATGATTCGATGTGTTTAAAGTGCTTTTAAAATGTGGTGTTTTTTTTATACATTTATTTATATGGGCTGACAGACAGACAAATCCAAAACAGTAATCAATGTAGAGATTTTTCTTGTCCAATCAGATGTCTTTCTGTTCCCAACAATCTAACTTGCCTAGGACCTTCAGAGTTAAAGCTGGCTGATATAACTTGAACTATATGAGCAATGGGTCTGTTTTTTTTTTTAAAGTAGATTTCAAATTTGTGTGTTGTATATACATACGTATATACAAATGTAATTTTGGAGTTTTAAGTGCATAGCACTTTGACTTGCATTTTTATGTATGAAAAGTGCTGTATAAAGTTTGATTGATTAATTGATAGATACTGAGTTGAAAAGAAATTCCAAATCATTGTATTCTGTTTTAATCTAAATTTTAAACAAAGTCCCAAAGCTTTTCATGTTCTCCACCATGATCTATGAATGGACTCTGAGAGCTCATGTACGAAGTATGATATTATGATATTAATTGACAGACAGAAACAAAGGACATTTTTGCTGTAATTATAGCTAGTTTTAGAAAGGAAGTTGGGCCTTCTTCAGTTTTCAGCAATCTTTGTTTTTATTTTATTTGGTTAACTAAAGTGTTGTTGTTTTAGGTTTTGCTTTCCATTTTCGTGTTAGTTCTTTCATTCGTTTTTGATTAGTGAAAGGCAATATTAGCAACAATTATTTAGGAATGCTGAAGGCAACATTCAAGAAATCTGGAATGTCATCACCAAGATGTTTACGGACCAGCATAGTTGGGGAAATGTCTAACAATCTGTTAACCGAACAATATGGTCAGAAATACCCTGAGATTGAATTCTCTCTCATTTAATTACAGGGGAGATAATAATTCATCCATCCATTATCTGAACCACTTATCCTCATGAGGATTGCCTATCCCAGCCGTCTCTGGGCAGTAAGAGAGATATACCCTGAACTGGATGCCATGCAATCGCAGGGCACGCATATAGACGACCAACCATCCGCACTCACAATCACACCTAGGGACAATTTCAATTGTCCCTAGGTGTGATTGTGTTCAATTAACCTATCAGTTAATTGTTGTTTTTGGAATGTGGGAAGAAACCGGAATACCCAGAGAAAACCCACCCAGGCACGAGGACAACATAAAAAGTCCACTCAGGAAGGCCGGAGCCCGAATTCCAACCCTTGACTTCTGCACTGTGAGGCGGATGTGGGGGATACTAATTGATCTTGAAAAATCATTTGATCCAGTCCAGTACACAATGATATATTGCCTCAAGAGTTGGAGCATTATGGAATTAGCCAATGGTGGGATTAGAAGGAACCGGACTCAGTATTTAGAAGTAACACTGATTTCAATAAATTACCAATGGATCACCATCTTTCGGAGTTAAAGATTTCGTAGGGAGTGTAGCAACGGCAATGGATGAGAGGGAAAATTCTATTGGTGTATTATTGTCTTATGGGAAACATTTGATACCATTAAACACTTGTTGTAATTACAAATTTGTGGGAAATGTGGTATAAGAGGTCTGTTACTGTGTTGGTTACAATAGATTTAAACATTACATTACAAAATGTGGAAATTCATTTATTGAACACATCAATGATGTTGATTTGTGGATTTCCACCAAGGCTCAGTTTTTGTGGCCGGAATTATTTATCATTTCTTTAAATGATATCTGCAATGTGTCATGGATTCCGAAGCTTTTCTGATAGTCCAAATACTTCACTGTACTGGACATGATAATATTAACTTAATCTTAATAGTGGGGAATGAATTGAATAAATGGTTTCATGAAAGTAAACTTTCACTAAATGAGGAGGCATGAGAATGTATTTGTTGTGGATCTGACATATTAATTAGCTATGTAGATTCGTGTTCTTATGGGGTTGGAATTCAGGTCTTTGGAACTATATTCTTTGGCTTTAACATAGGCAGGAACCTTTGTTGGAGGACTGAGAAAGGAAATACTATGAAATACAACGTGCCATAAACTATTGTAGACCTATTAATTACAGCTGTGTTCAGTTGAGACACTGTGAAGGGAGAATGAGAATGATGTGTAACATGGAATTGTTGAAGGTCACCTTTTATTAATATTAACTAATATACACATGGAAACTATGGACATGTTGTTGTACTTTCGTAATTGGATTAACAGTGTGAACAGCAGGATTAGCAACAGAACAAATATCAAGACGAGCCGTGTTACTGTTTTTGGAGTTAA